CGGTGGCCTAGCGATGTATCGAACCAGTGCTGCTATCCTCCCAGACAAGTCTGGTACCAATTCTCCGAACCCGAAGGGATAAACGGTTTGATGCACCAGGGGCGCGGGAATCGAATCCATGTGTATTACGGGGCACCTCCGACTACTGCGCCGCACGTGCCTTTTTTGAGGCCAAAATGAAACGATTAGTAATTTAAATACGGAATCGCAATCTCCTAGGACTTGTCTATTTCATAAATCACATACCTTTGTTTTGTTTTGATTTGCCAGCCCACGAGATTCAATCCAATCCACGCCGTTTTCACTAAGGTAATAATCAAAAAGGAAACTGCAGGAAGTCATACCATACTTCAAAGTGTATTTATAAGTGAAATAACCCAGAACTGCAAAAGAATGCAAATTACTGAAGACGGCCGATATAGTGTTAATATCATAAACGCAGATATTTACCATATAGATAGAGGAAAATGCCGCATTTCAAACCTACATTAAAATTGTGGACAAACCTATGGATATATCACAAGGCTTAACAGCTCGAAAAAAACTTGTTTTTCAACCAAAGCAGCTAGAAAATTCAATTTTTGTCATTACATCGATAATAACGACGCTTGCTAACCCTTCCGAGGAGATCGACGTGTTTGTTCCGCAAAAAATGGAATGAAGTGGATGGAAACTATCGAGTAAAGACTATGACAAGGAAAGTGTATGGTCGAAAGCCCAGTCGAGCAGCTTAGAGCGTACCTTGTTCAATACTTCAGTCCAGGATAACTCTCTAAAAATCCCACGTGCGACTTTCTATTAACCTCGGCATTGATTGAACAATTCTTTCCACTTCTGCTCAGCAAACAAACGGTGAGTGTGCGGAGCTGTGTTTAATGTGATTGAAATCTTGGTTTTGCGTTTTCTGTTTGGTTGTGAAGGTGTTTGGCCGAATAGGTTGCTGTCGACGTGACCTTTCCAGGCTCTGAGGAAGGCGAAATCCGCCGAAACGTCAGCTTTTGCGTGAGTGGGAAAGTGGAATAGCATCTCTAAAAATCATTACATTGAAACACCAAGAATTCCCGAACGATTTTTCAAAAATCTATTGTTATTGAAAACCTTTAGACTTTATAATACTCAAAATCATGTAAATATAACCTAAAAATTTAGTAATTTAATGGAAAAGCGAAAATGATCACAACTTTTCATTGGAAACAGAGATTGATGACCGGCTTGACTCAGAACGTTCTCAACTAGGTACAACCCTTATGCACTGAACTAAATGCGCAACTTATACAAAAATTTAATCGTGGCACCATATGAAATAAGTAAGCATGCTTGTCCTCCAATAGCATGTAATTAATATAACTTACTTGATATTTGAACGGCCGGTCCTCACTATTTGTGCGGGCCCCAGCATAATCATCGTTTTTCGGAGATTTGCTGGTTAAGCCATTGTGGTCCCTTGGAATCCCGAAAACAGCCTGGCCAAAGTCTGCCCCAGGTCGTCACCACGAGAGGCAATCGCAGCTCCTGTGGATCAGATGGAGATTTGCCACCATGTGTCTTTGATTTCCTGATGGAAACGCCGTAGTCCTTCTCATCACCGCTGGGAGGAGTTAGTATAACATAGAGAATTAATATCATATAAAGGATAAAAGGATAAAGCTCTCAGCGTTTATCTATCTCTTAGGGATGCGCCATGCATTCGACATCACCAAGCATCGTTTGGAGGCGATCGAATGTATATCTGACCTTTACAATGATTCGCGGTAGCGTACCGCTATATCAAACCAATGCTACTATCCTCCCAGACAGGCATGGTACCAATTTGCCGACCCCAGAGGGATGGAAGGCTTGGTGGGCCACAGGTGCATGAATCGATCCCATGTGTGTTGAAGGGCGCCTCCGACCACTGCGCGACACGTGGCCATCCAAGCGATGCGTGATGAGGTCAAATGCATGGCGCACCCTCAGGGATTGATTGATAACGTCTTACACAACGTCATTAACTGTGAATAAACTCATTGCACTATCGTCACCACATCCTTAAACGCCTCACAAGTAGTAATTTGTTCCATCCACTCGTGGACCAGATTACGAACGAGCATTGGTCTGCTCACAATGTTATCTTCCTTTGTAATCTGTGAAAACTTGAAAGTAAAACGAATAGACTATGATCTAAAGAGACAGCAAAATTAAATTTTCACGTACATACATCTTCGCTCTTTAGAAGCTGCTTTAATAAAACAAGTGAGCAAACGGTCGATCTGAAATCAGAAGTACTACTCCATTATAACGGGTGGTAACTATTATATCAAAGAATACAGGGATATCGAAAACCTTTTACTCCTTTTATAGGGAAACTGTTAAATTCGCAAGCATATGCACAGATTACTAAACACACATCTTAAGATCAATTACCACCAAATGCTTTTCGCGTGATAAAAAAGTCGAAGAAAAAAAGGTAATTCCTTCTTAAGAGTTCACAGCCTCTCTGTTGCAAAAAGTGTGCTTGGAAACCAGCTAACGGTTTCAAGTGGGATTCCTGCTCAGGTAGGTTAACAAAGACTGAGAACTTCGATTTTCCATCCCGAAACCTAGTTAAAAGTGAACTTGTCACAGCTATCTGATTGCTTCAGAGAGATTCACTCGGACAGCAGAAATTTTCTGCCTTCTCATTAATCCACAATTGCACGCGATTACCTACTGTGATGGCTTGGGAACGCCCTAGCAGTCTATTCCGAGATTCTAGAAAAAGTTTGCTCAATCAGCAAATTATCAGCAAAATTGAATTTTTTCTGGGATGTCGAATCATTCTAAGTTGAGATGACCCGTCTTATAAACTATGTAAGTGCATACTTTATACCTACAAAGCAATCCTTACATTGTAAGCGCTTAAGTGCTTATAGAGCAATGTAACTCCACTTAACACTGTATTTTGCGAGTATGTTCATTCTAAAAATAAATAAGGAAATGAAGGCAAAATGATAAAGAATCCATGAACAAGTTTCTACGTCGTGAGAAATCTTAGACATTAAATTTTCAACGTTAAAAAAGGTTCACCTATTCGAACGACTGGAGACTGCTAAACTTCCACAATGCGTTTCTAACAACGATAGAATTTGTACACTGTCATAAAGTGGTGTCTGAAACTGACAATGTTCCAACAAATGATCTTCATCCTGGTTAGTAAATACAGAACTAAACCTAAAAACCTGCTTGACAAACTGGTCATATAGGCTTGACACTCACAAGGACTGGTTTTGCTCCGACCACCTCAAGTGCTTGACACAGAGCTGCTGACCGACAAGATACATGGTCTTCTTCCTCAAGAAGAGACGTCAGTTAAAATCTAATGGAAGAAAATTCCACGATACCTCATCATGTGCTTCATCTTTTGATCATAATGATGGTAGCTAAATCTACAAATAAGTAAACATTGAGGCAATCAATTTTGCCCGATTACCGAATAACGAACAATTCTTCCCATTTAATATTGGCCATCTATAAAAACGTAAAAAAATTTACTAAGGCACTTCGATGACTCGTCTCCAAGTGATCTGCATGCTCCAGAAATTCCACTTTAGTGTGTCATTTTACAATTTTCGCCTACAGAGGTGTTCGACTTTGTGTGCTGGCTCGTACGGAGCTTTACAAGCTGTTATACTCTCTCTTTAGGCACATTTTGAATTTTGGTTGAATTAGTTCCTCCTGGAATCCTGAGGTTGCCATGCAGCGGTGTTCATAAGTCATCAACTTAACAGTCGTAGTAAAACCACCTATGATACACGTGAATCTGACTTTTATTGCTGAAGGTTTAAAAACTACAGAACAAATAAAGGAGGTACCCGCGTTTGCGCATTACATAGAGACAGGCTATCGTAACATATAGAAAGGTAGTACTGCAATGCTTACCATGAACTATAAAAACCCGTGACTTTTGTTGTTTAATCCTTATCGACCGTTGGTCGAAAAAAATTAAACACATGATCTTATAAACTGGACAACATGATCGAAAGAAATAAGATGTAACACAATTAGACCAAAGATATTAAGGAGATAAGTCCAAGGATGGCATACTCGACGAAGTTCCTCTGCAACCTGCCGTACACCTTGATATGAGCGACAAATGTCTCCTTGTCCACTTTTTCATTTCGATTCCAACCAAATATGCATTCACATCAATAAACTGAAATCCGACGACAAAGTAGGGTGGAGACAATATTTGGACTGAACGAAGAACACTGGATCTCCAAGAAAACACTTTACCAATATGGATAAGGAACAGAGTTAAAGAATGAAGGACAAAAGCTCTAGCTGCATGATGAGCTAAACGTCAGCCATCGACCAATAACATCGAAAACAACGACAACGACAACGAAGATCTGTACCAACCTCGCGTCAGCTTAAAAAGATCAGTTTATAAGGTCACACAAATAAATATATCAACTATCCATGCCGGAGTTTATAGAAAGTCGGTCTTTCGAGTTATTAAGAAGATAAGGTGGTCCAGACACGTAATGCGTATGAGTGACAACCGATGGACATGAGCAGTTAGTGACTGGATTTTTCTGAATGTGACAAGCACTGCAGGAGGACCACCAACTCGATGGTTAGAGTTTTTCACGAAAAGCATAGAAGATATGATGCTCAACGAGCCCCTAAAGCGAGCAGACCCCATTGGGCTACTCTTGCACGCAACGGGGAAAAATAGAAGATTTACTAGCGCACGCTCGAGTCATTCGACGATCAACGGGACTAAGAGTGATACAGGTGATATGGCAACGAAAACGCTAGAAATCCAGCATTTGGTTTGCAATAAATCATAGATTCTGCGGGTCTTTTATTTAGACCAGTAAGGTTCACTGTAAGGTAAGACGCGTTCACGTAAATTTGACATCCGCCTGTGTTTTCTTCTCTTCCACTTTGAAGTCAATGCACATCGTCGCGAATGTGTTGAATTAAATATATCAACTACTAATCTTATTTCTTTCCTTCAATTCAGTCATTGCTCGTGACTATTCCCGATCAACTAACATATCCAGAAAATCGTCCAGCACCTACAATATATCATGTCGGCGACTAAGATTCTAGTATGAAAGAACTCAGATACTTCTAACCTTTATAAAATGAGCCCCAACGTCGCTAGCCATATCTCGCAGCGACGTGACATCAGCTACTGTTTCGAACACCGGATGTCCTGAATGTTAACCTTTGAAATAAACAGCTTCATCTACGCGCCATAGTGCCTTTTCAAAACGGGTATCATACAAGTTGAATATTTTAAAAAGTTTCGGAAGATCATTTGTACACTTTAAAAATTTAAAGAGAATTACTAGTTCTAGGCGAGGTAATCCACGTTGTCTAAAAGAAGACATTAACAACAACGATAAATTCCATTTAGGTAGACGCAAATTAAAACTGAACAAAAGCTCCAAAGACTTTCACCTCTTTCAACAGATATTACTAAGAAAAACATTATCCACCCAAGCAGAAGATCTGAGCCTTCTTTTGATAATGTGGCCCAAGTTGAATCATACTGGAGGCAAATGAGGTGAACGTCCCATAGTGAAGATACGTTATCACTGACTGACCGAATAATCTGCAAGTAGAGATTCGAAGTAAAGGAGATTGTAAAGCAACAGAATCAGCTTCTCTCCCCAACGATATTTAAGCACAAAATAAAATCAAGAGAACAGCAGGGAACAATTAGCAAGTGTAACCCTTAATTTGAAAAAAAAGCATAACGCATCTTCGAGAAATTCGTTGGCTGGGATATAATATTATGAAAGCTAGAACCAAATCATGAGGTCGCCAGGAAAGTAAAACACTCTTCTGGATCTTTCAACACAGTTTTTCGCAGCAGATGATCAGAAATCAGCTGTAATGGTGAATAACTAAAAAATAATAAAAATCTACACCACAAAAAGACTAAAAGGTAAAAAAGTCCATGTTTAGAACAGTTTAACATACCTATTGCCTGAAGTTATTATCAGCAATGGTTCAGGCGGTTCAGTAGGTGGTGATGCCTTCTTTACCTGTGATTCCGCTTGAGCACCTTTAGCTGACAGTTCCTCAAGGAGGCCATCCTTACAAATTTTCTCTCTTTTTACGTTGCTTCTGGCAAACAGAATAATTTCTCCTGTAAACACGTAGGCGCTAGAAACTAACAGATCTGGTAAACATGATTAAGGAGATTTTCCACCAAATTTTATTTTAAAGCGCGAATTCGTCCCTTAACTCCATAAACCAAACCACAGTAGTAGTGAATTTCATGGAAATACTACGGTGAAAATGATTCTGTCGTCTGGGATTTAGATAGAAGATAAGAGTCATACCGTTCGATGCAGATCTATTCCTCAGAAAAGTGCACGAAAATGGAGAAATTGATATCAGAGATGTTTGGGAAAAATTAAACACTTACCTTACTTGATACAACTGCAACCCTCGCAAATTAGTGCACAGGTCAAATATCCATTCAATCACTTTTATGACACTTGCTGGAGTCGGTAAATAGCGTACCGTTAAGGAGTAAACCAACGTTGAACGCGTTATCATTCTAGTGATAGGATAGAAGCCCGTTCGACTGAATATTGAACTCTGTTCTTAGACGTTCTTCTTCGAAACCAATTTTCTTCACCAAATGAAGGCTATGTCACTAATAACACCGAAAATAAACTGCTCTAACAACAATGGTTTTGACTATGAATGAATGTGAAGCTGAACGACTTCACCTGCCATAAAACACCTCGAAACTTCACGAAACTCACCAAAAATCAGCTTTGACCCTTGGAGACCAAACCTATTTTTCGAAAATGGCCCACGACTTCAGGACAACAAAATTATTTGAAAATTTGAGAATTCGAACTTGTGAAAACTTCGCCCCACCTATATTTCTTCGACAAGCAAACATGAGGCTGATTTCTTTTGCTTGCCGAATAAAACCAGTGAATTACAAATCAATGCCAAGGTTAGCAGAAAGTCGGTCTTGGGAATTTGCTCTACCGAGTCATCAACAAATACGGTTTTACAAAAACCCTGTTCCACTTTCACAGCATTTTGAGATGAAAAGTTCTAGGAAATTAAGGTGGAAATTTGAATTCCTAAGATCCATAATGCAAGACCATCAGTCGAAAACATCATGGATGCATTTCGTCACATTATGCTGCATGAAATCTGCTTTGCTAAGCTTCTGCTTCTTCGTGTTCGGAATAAGAACCTCGATAGGAAAAAGTGACAAAAGCACTTTTGAGCACCATAGAACCAGACAAACGCAGTTGAACAAGAAGACTTCTATCCTACTGGAAAAGATCTTCACATCCTAGTGCTTTTAAATGAAATTAATAAAGCTTACTATTAGCCGAGATACACTGATTCAAAGTTGAAAGTGATCAGTACTTTCGTTCCGGATCTGAGAGGATTAATTAACATCTGACTCCAGGCGTTAAAAGAAAAAATGAAGAAAACATTCGACGATGTAAATCAGAACTTTTCTTTTCTGATTTCTAGGTGTTAGTGTATCATTTTCAACTGGTTCTTTAGTGCCAGATTGTTCTTCTACCTGTTTAGAATAGAAGTGAAATCGCATGTATTGCAACCAGCCGAAATCGGAAAGGCTCTTGACAATATCATTCAACTTTCGGAGAGTTTCGCGCTTATGAACAAATTCCATAATTAATAATAATGAAAGCATAAAAGTTAGAGCTCTCGGCGATGATCAATACCAAAGAGATTTGCCATGCGCTCAACTTCATTAAGCATCGATAGAGGTGATTGAACGCATATCTGCACTTACCCAGGTAATGATCCAGTGCTGCTATCCTCCTGGACAGGTTTGATATGCCGATCCCAGAGGATGGAAGGCTTGGTGCACCTAGGGCGCTGAGATCAATCCTATGTGTATTGCAGAACGCCTCCGACCACTGCGCAAGACGTGCCCCATGTTACTTTTGACAAGTAACACTGCTGACCAATGTTTCTACTTTTTTTTCCGTTTAATCGAAGTTTGATCTTTTAGCAGTGAATTAGCAAGTAGCAAGAGTGTTGCTGACATTACTTGTTCTAGTTTATCGAACCTTTTACATTGGGAGAGCACGATATCCATTTAGTTGCCCTATCAAATCTCACCAGTCAATGCTACGACTTGAGCGCGGGATATTTTAATAGAATTTCGCCAACGATATGAAAACTGTAGAAAACTAACCGGATACTTATCTAGCCATTCCATACATTCCTCCGATTTTAAAGTGTCAATGTCCAACTTTAAGAAATGTGCTACGGAGAAATCAAAAATTTAGAAAAGTATGATGAGAAATTTGAAATTTACAGATTATTGCAGATATTTCTACTTCACAACAGCGCACTTCATTTCAGCTTCCATCGCTTTACGCCAATCATTGATGAAAACATCTCTGCTGTGGACCGACTGGACAAGTTCTACTCGTTCGCTTTCGATACTTTGGAGTGCAGTATTCTGAAAAAAAACTACTATACCCTTCACCAAGTACTGTAATGCTCCACTGACAACGCGGTCTTCTTCCAGAACATCTACAAAAGTCACACCAGCAAACATTTTCATAAGGTGCTTTTGCAGACGTGGAATGTCTTTTCTATTATTCATGATTTCTAATAAATCATCGTCTTCAACAAAGACGACGAATCCCAACAAAACGACAAAAACCTCTTAGCGAAATCTAAAAATAACGTAGTTTGATAAACATACCGCGTAAAAGATGACCTCTCCCACACCAAGTATTCACCAAAAGCCTTCTGAAGTTCGGTTAACATATCTGCGAGTATACCAGGCAAACGTTGAGCTTCTTGCACACCGACCATATCAAGAATACATGGCGACTGTGTGACTTTCTTCATCAATGCCAAAATTCCGTAGAAATGCTACAATTTTCACACAAATGATGAACATTAGAAATAGAAACGAATCAGTGGATGTCCGTGCCACAAATTGAATCATAAACGTTAGCTCACAATGTGACTACTGCAAATTTCAGTTATGATTTAAATTCCTACTGGGACATGCAACGAAGGTGCATGCATATGTGACATATCGCCTCTTTGGAAATCAGCTAATTTGGTATTTAAAAAAAAACATACCTGGGAAATCGTGCAATTTCAACGGCAAAGGAAATTTATGTAGCAATGCTGCTGATCCAGAAAGCAGGCCCTCCAAATAATCCCAACGACAACGTTGCTGAGATATTTGCAAAACTCTGGACCGCAGGTGTCTATGGTGGGGAACGAACGCGCTATTATCCTTTCCGGGGAGTAACGCGTTCACCACCACACAATGCGGGTCCTTTGTTTCGCCTGTCTCTGCAAAAAGATCGATAGAAATAGCTGANCAACGACAACGTTGCTGAGATATTTGCAAAACTCTGGACCGCAGGTGTCTATGGTGGGGAACGAACGCGCTATTATCCTTTCCGGGGAGTAACGCGTTCACCACCACACAATGCGGGTCCTTTGTTTCGCCTGTCTCTGCAAAAAGATCGATAGAAATAGCTGAGAGACAGGCGAAACGAAGGACCCGCATGGTGTGGTGGTGAACGCGTTACTCCCCGGAAAGGATAATAGCGCGTTCGTTCCCCACCATAGACACCTGCGGTCCAGAGTTTAGCAAATATCTCAGCAACGTTGTGGTTGTATTTCGCTTTGTAACCTGCCATGAAANCTGCAAAAAGATCGATAGAAATAGCTGAGAGACAGGCGAAACGAAGGACCCGCATGGTGTGGTGGTGAACGCGTTACTCCCCGGAAAGGATAATAGCGCGTTCGTTCCCCACCATAGACACCTGCGGTCCAGAGTTTAGCAAATATCTCAGCAACGTTGTGGTTGTATTTCGCTTTGTAACCTGCCATGAAAATTATAGAAGGCAGAAAACAAAACGTTAAACATTGTAATCCCAACGACGTTGAACATTAATCCAGATGTCGAACATCGCACTTGTTCGATTCAAATTCTCTTCCCAGTATGGCGCATTTCTGCAAAATCTTTTTTTCTTTGTTCAACTAGAAACAACAAGGTACTCGCACAGTAGAAACCTTCTCAAATTGCTTGTAGTATAGGGAAAGCTTCATTACAACCAGCGAGCTCCGGTGTTCCTTTAATTTCATGAATAGCTCATCCCATCCTTTGATCAGTCATGTCTTGTTCTGATAGTTTACAAACTCAACATCACAGGGCTACCAAAAGTCTCTCATTTAAAATTATTTTAAAAGCAACATAGTTTACGGTTTAGGAATGTGTAAAGCTCGAAAAACACTCTAAATATAAATAGTGGAGTTTTCCCAAAATGTGCAACACACCTTCTCCATAAACTCCTTGAGCGCAGCCTCACGTTGAGCAACGAGAAGTATGTTCGTACCGTTGAACAACGCCATCTCATACCTTTCAAAGTGTAGGAAAATTAAGAATTTAATTTAAAAAACCAAAATTTTTCAAGTTAAGCACATTTCAAGAATTTTAAGACAGAAGTCTCTCAACGGTTTACCGCCTCATCGTAGCCGGGAGATATTCCTGGGTGTCGAACTGAAATGTACAGCGGGCGGATTCATCTTCCTGGCAGGGTCTTCCAAGCTGAGGAGTCCGGCGTTTCCATCAGGAAGCCCAGCTAAGAGTAAACTAATACCACGATCCACCACCAACCTGGTACCGAACTAGTCGCATGATGGCAAACCTCCCTCTGATCCACAAGGGCGGTGAGTGCCTGTTGTGGTAACGACCTGGGGCAGACTTTGGCCTGGCTGACCTTAAGACTCTAAGGAACCACAACATGAAACCAGCAAAACACAGAAAAAGTGGAAATTATGCTGGGATCCGCACAACCAGTGATGACAGGCTATCCAACTATCCAAGCACGTTAGTAAGACAGAAGCATAGGGTACGAACCTGTCCCGCTACCCTCCTATACAAGCTTGGTATCAATTTGCCGACCCCTGTGGGATGGAGGGCTTGGTGAGCCTGGGGCGAAGGGATCGATAAGGTGTATGTTGCATAGCGCGTCTGAACAGTAATTCGAGAGTAATGGCATATATTAAAATTGCCCTACTTCAAGAACTGCAATGCAATATTAGGAACGCTCAGTTGTGACCGAATCGACTAGTCTTTAGGAAGGATTTCCGTCAGAGCTGACCAATTGCGTTCAACATTCTTGCGTAAAACCACTCAGTAGGAAACCGATTTTGCTAAGAAAGCAACCGCTGCGCAGTCTAGAACTGATCGACCTGAACAAAGAGCTCTACGATTACCAGAGCGATACACATATACGGAAACTTAATGAAATTGCTGTCTCCTGTCCAATACTGATCTGTTTTTTCTAAAGTCTGCAAAGTCTTCCATCCCTTCGGGACCAGTAAAGTAGTATCAGATCTGTCTGCGAGCATAGCAGCACTGACTGGATATATTGGTAGGCCACCGCGAACCGTTGTGTAGGCCAGATATGCGTTCAATCACCTCTAACGATGATTAATGAAGTCGAACGCATGGCGCATCCCTCAGGAATTGATCAACGCCTTCCTATCCTTTGTGAATCCGAACGGACATGGAAGCACAGAAGTAGAAAAAGTGATTGTTAGGAATTGGATTGATTGTCACCGCATCAACATCATTAACACCGCGAATATAGAGAGAAAGGCAAGGTTACTTCTGGAATAGAACCATCAAAAGCGCTGTTATTACTATATCGTATTCCCTGCACTGAAAAACGAGTTGGGGTGCTTACGAATCGAGATGAACAACACAATAATATCTACCCGGCCCGGTCGACTTTTCACATCTTCAATTTGATAGTGAGCAATCATGCCTTATTATGCAAATCGAAAGGTGTATATAAAGAACGCCTACCACGACATTCCGACAGGCCAACTGTCCCTTTTCTTCAACACCAGCCATCATATTATTTTCAGTAAGCACTTTATTTACTTGGGCAAGCAGGATTTCGGCAGAGATACTCTCTTCTCCTGAGCTTCATAGAATACGAGATGGCGTATGACAGTGTCGAAACGAATAAAGCCCTACAAGTGCTCATCGACTAAGAAGTGGACCCGCTCTGGATACGAACATTAGCTGATTTCTATCGAAACTGCAGCACAAATATACAACTTTTTCATCGATCCCTCACCATAAACATAAGGAAAGGGGTACGATAGGGAGACACAATATCGCCAAAGTTATGCACTGCCGCAATGCAGTGGATAATGAAATAGCTCGATTGGGACGGGAACGGCATAAATGTTGATGGAAAATTCCTATCAAACCTTCGTTCTGCCGACGACATTGTCATCTTTTCGAGGAGTACCAGTGAAGAAGGAGACAATGCTCAGTGAACTTAGTGGAGCAGGAAAAAAGATTGGAATGCGCACAGATAGGGCGAAAATCCATGGTGGATTACAAAGGTCTACAGCTCGAAATGTGTGGTTCTTTGATAACAAAAGTTATTTTGTACGCATATCTCGCATTTTCAATGAACATGCAAAACAAAATGTTCAAGGAAACAGACGGAAGAAAAAGAGCGGCGATACACGGAGGAGAAGTATGGCCCTTGGCTCTTCTTTTTCGTGCATAATATTTTCTAGGCGAATTCTTATATTGTTCAGTGCACGCCATCCCATGCAGTGAGCTTCTCCTGTATTATGGAATCTAAAACAACTGTAATTTGTGAGGTGTAAAACGAGGAGGACAGAGAGAGAGAGAGAGAGAGAGAGAGAGAGAGAGAAAGAGAGAAAGAGTGAAGAACTGTGATAAAGAGTGTGTCGTAGAGAAAGGGTGAAAGGAAGGAAGTGCGAAAAAAGAGCAAGAAGGAAAGCGACAGAGGAGAATAAAAAAGCGGGAAGTTGACGAACTAAGCTCCGTTCAATTCAAAACATGCAGACGACTGAGAGACCTACTATTGCAAGGTGAAATTTTTCGCATAATAGCCTACCTTCAAAAAAGTAGCAACATTCTCTTCAAGTATCAGCAACGAACAAACAAAATGGCTCTGGCTCTAGTAGACAACGCGTAATTCCCAGCTACATGACAGATCCGTTCACCCGAAGCCAGAAAGTCGTGTGTGACTCTACCGCTTCCAGGAAAACACTTGGATTCCGGCCTCGTCAAAGTTGCGCAACACATCAGATCCTGAGCAATGCACAACACGATGTTGTCGATTCTTTTTCGCGCGCTCCGAACGTTAACGAATCCATCTCAACGTTCACGAGCACTTGTAACCATTGCGCAAGTCAAATGTGCAGTCAATCAGCTCTTCCATTGTCATACCCCAACAAAGTGCCGCAGTCGAAAACGACTTCGTCGAGAATGAACTGCGCTGAGTATCTTGCAGACACATGGTTTTGCAAGATTAAAAATGGGCCATGAATTCGCCTTTATTGAGGCATCATAGAAGTGATTGCATGTGACTACGTACATACCTCGCCTTTACAATGACTGGCGGCGGCCTACCAATGTAACGAGCCAGTGCTCCTAGAATAGATCCTCCTAGACAGGTCCGCTACCGATTTGCCCACCCCGGAGGAGTAGAAGACTTGGTGGACCTAGGGGGCCGGGATTGATCCCATGTGTATTGCAGGGCGCCTCTGACCACTATGTCACAGACGCCGCATTACGACAACCTAAACTATCTAAATTTTAAATTCCCAATGAAAACACTATGGATTAAGTAATTGACCATGTCGACAAGTTAAACTTCACTGTTAGAATAAAACATCACAGCTGTAAAATATTCCATAATGTGGAATGCAACCACAATGACACTGAGATATAACTAATATAATACTGAGATATTTGCAAAACTCCGAACCGCAGGTGTATGCGGTGGGAAATAAAAGTGCTATTGTCCTTGCAAATATCTCAGCATCATTGAAGTTATATTTCGCAATGTATACCCTGCCGTTAAAAAGAGTAAGCAGTAAATAATAAGTTAAAATTATCTTTGTAGCATCAAGCCTCTTAGTTTATAATTTGGAAAAGAAATATCACGTCATAGCAGCGCAGCTATTTCTACAACGAATGGAAATTACAGATAGATCGGTTTGTCGAAGACTCGATGACAGACCGCTTAGCTGACGAACAGAGAGATTCGTGGTTGACGTTAGGCAACTGTATTCATAGCCAGATGTGTTACTTTACAGCAGAGCAGATAGGACTCGCCACCACAAATGCTTATTTTGTAAATATTCGCAGTTAATCAATGCCGAACAAGCATCTGCTGAGAAAAATCTACTAGTAGCTAGGCGATGAAATGTCCCAGATTCTCTCTAAGAACTCTAAATTCCAATTTTGCCTACCGGCTTCGCTCAAATTAGGTCATCTCTAGCAATTGCTTTCGATTTAATTCATCAGGTGCATGAGCCTACCCTTCACATTACCACATAGTCTTCGAACTGGTATTTTTCCAGAGGATCTCAGCACAACACACTAAAAGTCCCGATATACAGTCGCCTCTCCGATCACCGATGTATCCCGACAGTTAGTATGCTCTAATCCTGATTCATAAGCACGGATCGTGACGGAAATGTTCTCAAATTCCTGTTTTGAACTCTTTGCGTACACTACTTTTTGTTTTACGTTTTCTTTTTCCGTAGGTTTGAGTCATGTGGATATTAGGGTGTGGATCAAGTCTTTTCAACAACTTGTCATTTTCTTTTAGAAGCTTTATGTCAACAGAACGAAATGCAGCTCCGGAAGAGTGCAGCTCAACAGGGTCGGTCAGTTCTCCTCAGTGTTCTTAGTGGAAGGTGTGTCGTTTTCTTAAAATAGTTTTCCTTTGTTCACAGAATGTTGCTTTTTTTCTTCCTATTTTTATTTGTTTTTTTCGAAACAGTGTGTTAAAGGGGAGTTTTATGCTGTAGTTGTTCAGTTGCTTCTGCTTGCCCGTGAATTAAGTCAGTGATTTCGCTTCCAAACATGTGTGGTACCAATTTGATAACCTCTGAAGGGTGGTGGTTTAGTCACCCCTGGGACGTGTTTTAACCGTTAGCCCTGTTTATATTTTACAGTAGCTTTAGCCGCTGCGCTGCATGTACTCCTGCTTTTTGAATACTCGTGGTTGTCTGGTTACCTCTGTGGTTCTGACGTCTGACTTAAATATTATGAATAACAGTTTAGTTGTTATTTGTAATAGGTACTTAAACCGATAACCTTCCAGATAGCTAAGGCTACTCCTGCTTGGAGTAATTGGTCCGATAACGATGAACTACTTGACATCGTATGCTAAAGAAGGTAAGTAGTTTTTTTTAAATTATTTTTCCTCTACCGTGCTAACTTTTTAAATCTTACATTTAGATGTTGTCACTAGTAGTTGGGATGACGTCTGACGTGACATAAATGCATGGAATTCTGGCTGTTCTTACATATGTTGTGATTTCGACAGTCTTTGCGCAAC